AACATGGTCAGGAATGGTGACATCCGGAAGAGCCTTGGTATACAGCCTTTGCTTCTCCAGATTGAGAAGTTACAGCTGCGATGGCTTGGGCATTTGTTGCGAATGCCTCCAGAAAAAAAGGCTAAGCAACTGTTCCTTGCATATCCGACCGGGAGAAGGCCCAGGGGCGGCCAAGATTAACCTGATGCAAATATATGGAAGGAGTCTGTTCTAGATTCAATTTATCTTTTGCCGATGCTCAGACTCTGGCGGAGAATCGGGAACGTTGGAAGCTCTCTCTGACGTATCTGCTTCTGCGACCCGAAAGGACAAGCGACGATGGATGATGATGATGATGATGAAGATGATGATGATGAAATACTTGCATAAAAATTAATTCAGTTCAATAAATTGTTCTTGAAACTTAAGCTGAAACCAGTGTCAAGTTCTGCTTGAAACCTTTTTAAAGGGCATGTCATATACTTGAATATATAATTTTATTTTCATGTTCTAGTTTTAGCTACTTCATTACTAGCTATTCAGTAATTTGCTAGCGGAATAACTGACGTTTAAGCTTGCCTTTAAGAAATTTGCGGAGTTTTATGGTCATGTCGTATGGACAGAAACTTTCAGCAGCATCTGCAAATCGTGCACTACAAATTTGTGTAATTTTGAGATTAAAAAATTTTCAATATGTGCAAAGAAGCTCATAAGACTTGAAGATCTATCTTATTAAAACTGTACATGTACATGCTAGATTGGTCTTTCTGAGGGCTGCCTTAAGAGACACGGTTTTGCCGATTATTAATATCATTGTCTGTTGATTGTTGCTGTTTCACATTATATTTAGACGTTCATATTTTTCTTCTGCATCCTGAGACAGATTCTTCTATGTTGTATTTAGAATCGTTGCTTTGTTGTCACATTTCCCAAATTACGATGCTTCTTTTAGTGCAACTTTGCGGGAATGTGGAAGCCGTTGTTTTTGTTTCCTGATTTGATCTGCGTGTTTTAGCAGCATTTCTAATTTAGGTATGATGTCTGAAGTAACATCAGAAAGGCCTTCGGCTGCATCTGACGCTGCTCGTCCTGTTCCCCCGTTCGAAGAAAGTCCAGGTATTTATTTGCAGCATGTATGATATGTGATTAGTCTACAGGCGGCATGTTATTGATACACGTTAGACAGATATAATGGTAGTAACGTATTTAGATTCATATGTTCCGTAGTTATCGCTATGTAATGTGCCAAATAAAGGTGAACTCCATTTCTGTCATCTGTCCTACAAAGTTGCTTGTATTCTCGTGCCTAGTGGTATAGTTTCTTTTACGGAGATCAGCGTCTGACTATAAGCTTTATGTAAGAAGGAAGCAAAGTAGCCCCATCGTGAGAACTTGGAAGGTACCGATATTTTACCGCTCAGAAACTGGTGAAAAAGTTTTTACATTTTTGTTAGGATTCGTAAGGCACACACCGGTACCATGGTGGAGGGGGGAGGGCGGGCTCGTTGTCCCCAGTTACACCACGTTTACGTATAATGTAGAGGGTTCCTTACCTTGTTACATAAGATTGTTGCGGATCTTATTCCGTATTTAGCAGTGATCGTACAATCCCTGAATCCGTTGTTACCTATTGAAATAATAAATGCCGTGCTTGTTGTGCTTCCGATTCTTGTCTTGTTTTAATGAAACCGATGTAGCATGTATACCTGGTTTCCCTAAATAGCCTTGTATGAATGTTGGAGTCAGTACCATTTGCATGATTTAGCGTAATTATGGCCATGTTTTGCCTATTTTTGACGATAGTACCAATATTTTTGATATTGTTGCAAAAGTGCGTATGCGTACAGACTCCATAGCTTCATTGTTGGCGTTCAGGATATTGTTCTAGCCAATAAAACGATGTAGCATGATCAACACCTTGTAGGCAGTAGAGCCTGCATTGAAACTTGGCCTGCTTGAATCGCCCCATATCCGTTTACCAACAGTGAACGGTACCATAACCCCGTTAAAACGCGGTTTAGTGGAGTTAGGCTTATTGGCATTCTTCCGTCATATGAACCCCAATTTCTGATGTTGGTGCTGCGCTCCTTGAACAAGTGCTTTTTGTTTTCCGGTTATATCTTGCACTGATTATTAGTCAACTGGGCAGTCAAGGCGATGTGCATCTGTAAAGCTTACGCATAGGCACCAGACAGAATGATTGCTTGTCGCCTGTCTCGGACGCTTTAGCGTGACGACGACAGCGCACCAAGCTGTTCTTACGACGAGAATGTAACCGATTTGGCGACGGACGTTTCGGCTAGTTACACCGATGCACACTGAGCGATTTCTTTGCTCAAATGAATTCGCAGATTGTAATAAAAATTTTGCACTCCAGAGAATCGAATCCGGCATCTAGCGTACAAAGTATCGCTACAGTTCGCTGTACCGTTC